TGATAGTAACTTTTTTTTTATAATATTTGTTTACGTTTCAGCTATATTAGTCTTTCTCAAGGCTATTCCACTATATTGACATAAGATTCTTTTCATAACGGAATTGCTTTGAAAAAGGCTAAATATAAAGTCGAAACGTCGATAAAATTTTTTTGTTAATTATCCTAAACCCACAATTTTCGAATAAAGGTACACGTATTTTTCAAAAACACTCTGTATCTGGAAAACTAAACCGTTTCGAATTTTTCCTCTCAAAACGATTCAAGAAATAAGCAATGGCAATATTTTTAAGTGCCCTGTATAACATTTGATATAGAATTCAGTTATGGAAACGATGTTAGATAAAAAACCAATTAAATTTGGATATGATATCTCACTGAGATTTTGTCTTACACGTTCAAAATACTAAAAAAACTCGCGAAATTTTATGCCATGTATGGTCCCTTTGCAATTTTTTTTTCCAGCTACACATATCCCAAATTTGGTAAGTTTGCGGGCCACCGAGCAGATTGTGCATTAATACGTATTAACACCACTTAATCTTTGACAATCAAGGTTGTGTCTCGATTTTGCTAAACAAATCTGAGTCACAACCGCGTCACATATCGTATCTGTTTCATGTAAAATTGCTTTTGAGTAATAAACTTGTATATTTATTAGTTCGATATCAAAATAATTTCGTCCGCCGTTTGTGACGTCATTCCTTAGAAACTTTAAATCGGCGTGCATTGCTGAATGTAAATTGCTAATAATCCTTTTTAGGAATATAAAAGGAATGTTTTGGGTATACAGCTATAAACTAGAGTGGTAGCACTGTGCCGTACCAAACCGCAATGAGCCTTGATTTACAATTCATTTATATATTTAAAGTTGGCATTTATCTATGTATACAAATGTCTTTTGAAACATGAACATTATACTTTAGAAACTAGTCAGTTAACTTAAAAGAAAGTCCCGTTAAAGACAAACCAAGTAAAAGGAGTTTATAATACTTTTTAAAAATATTTAAACGTTAAATGAAAAGATTAAGAAAGTACACAAAACCAAGGGACTTTCCACATGTTTCGGTAATCAGTGTGGCATTATCGAGAGGAAATTTAGCGTTTCTGTCGTAAAAAAAAAATATTGTCAAGGATAAATAGTAAATAAAAATGTGTAATCATGAATGTGGTCATAGCGATAAACAGGACAATACCCCGACGAACTTTGTAACCCTGTTTTATGGAAAAAACGGTATGAGGTGATGAAGTTCAAGGTATGAACGAAACGATAAAAATAAAATAAAGGATACCACCGCCCGACGTCAATTCAGTTAATTAATTTTTCCGGATATGCGCCTTTGCTCTCGAGAGATGTTTTTTTTTTCATCCTTTTAATAGGATTAAAAACAGTGGTGGTCGTAAACAAGGGATAAATATAAGGTTTGCCTCGATTATTCGTGATTTGAGCCGGATAGCCTTTGTAAATGTTTGTTAATGTATTAAAATGTGAAGGTTTTTCTTGTTTATAGAATGTTTGTAATATATACGGCAGGATTTTAATAATATTTGAAGACAGAGGCGGTGAATCCCACTGAAACGCGCATAAAAATGTTAAATTATGCAAGAGATGAGCTCAATACCGTTTTGGAATGAATCCGGAAAAGTCAAAAAGCTAAGAGAGTATTAGTATATTTCGGTATGTCGTTTGTTTTCACACCGACATAGTTTTAACTTTAACGAAAGGCAATTGGATGGTATGAGTTTATTAGCTAAATACGTTTTACATTTAACAATTTTTGATCTAATAAATGTTTAAAACTTCGTTATTTTTTAAGCAAAGTCTCTCCTCAAACTTCAACTCGGTTTGGACTAAAGTGTCAAACATGTAAAATGTTGTTAAAACGGGCTGATATATAAATTTAAATCAGTTCTATCGTCCTTAGTTTCTCGGGCAATCCATTTAAACTAGTATATGTACCAAAAAAACAAATGTAAAAAGGGTTTTACTAAAAACAATAAATTCAAAATGAATGAATTCAGTAAAAACATTCTTTATAATAGCATCATTATGGAAATCAAAAACGGAAGGCTTATTAAAAAATACATATGTCTGTGTTAGCAACATATGTATTTTGAAATATTCTACTACTAATTGTAATGTCAAGTTCAGAGCGTTTCAGCCAAGTTCATTTTAATGAAGCAATTATATATACATATAATGACACTATGACATTAATTTAAATGGTAAATGCAATTTATCATTTGTTTCGCATATAATATAAATGTGGCAATATTTCTTAATCATTGAAAATGTGACAAATTTTTGGAAAGATGGTCAAAAATATTTAACATTAACAATTAGATTATTTTTTTAAATCGATTGAATATTTTGCAAATTTTATGTCGACATTTCAATTGTGGCGTTTATAATTTCTAAAGTAAATGTTAAATTGTTAAAATGTTACTATTGGTTTAGCTTACACAGGGTGATCCTAAATTACGTTTCGAAAATAAAGGAGGTTAATCCATTAGAGTATTTTAAAGAAAAACGTTCACTTGTCTAACAACTCCGTGGAGTATTAATGTCTTTGAAACATGGAAACATGTCACATTTATGCAAATATCTCGAAATCTGTTTAATGTAAATTTATTACTTAGACTGATAACTTAACTAATTGTAAGCAAAGATAAGAATTCATTGAATTTGTATACAATTACATCTACCAGTGGTGGTACATTAAGTACCCCAAAATTTCAATGCCTCTATTTTGGAAATTCGAAATTTATTTGATTTCTAATTTTATCATTTTTGAAATTGTTTTTAATCGAAAATACATTTATTATATAGTTCAAGATATCTACAATTACATTAAAGCTACCTGTTTCACGAATGTAAATGTAACATAATCAGTGGCAGCTCTTGATTTCCATAACATTGCGTTTATTAAAAAAAAAGAGAGGTGAATAGCTATTATTTGGTTACGTCGGACTAAACAAAGGGAATAGTAAATATGCGCTACTCTCACTCCGTCTTTTCCTGCTTTGTGACGGTAACCATGACCACCACTGTAAATACTTTACTTTACAGATGCAGATGGCGACCTACGAGGAGCCCACGATTCAGAGTTTTGCAAAAAAAATTTGCAAGTCGAGCTAAATTGACTGCACATTACAAATTTAACATTTCCTTTTTAATGTGTTTCATAAAACTAATCTATTTAATTATGTAGATAATATTGTAAATTTGAAATTAATTTTTTTTACTATGAAAGTCTCAAGGGAGAGCGGCGCCCCAAAGCCCCTCGCACCAGCCGCCACTGAATATAATCATTAAAATTAAAAAATAAATATTACTTTTTAATTTTCCGACGAGGGCCAGTTGCTACACCACTGATTTTCTGGATTTTTTATTATTACACTAATAGATATGCACATTTTAATTCTAACTTTCATATTGTTATAAAGAAAAGTAAATATCTTTGAATAGAGCCAAATTGATTTCCTCGGAAGATAAAATCTTTAACAATGAATTGGATTCATAAAAATGCACTAATAAATAATGAACACTTTGGGAATCTTATTGGCATAGTTTTTAAGAATATTGATTGTAAAGATGTAAGACAATATAGAGAAATCAGACTTGAGGGTTGCTTTCACTGTACAGCAAAAATAAAACGCTCTCTCAACGGTACAAATAAAGTATTTTTACTGAAAACTAAGCTTGTGAAAAAAGACGTGTTGTCGGTTCGAGTGTTTGCAGGAGAGTATCTCCTTGTGGTGTGGACTGTGGAGTCGCTCGCAGAAGTACCTGATCCTTCGCGCCAATCTGCCGGGGTCGTCTTCCGGGAACCCTGGTGCGTCCGGGCGCCAGGATGGCGCTATTGACGTTGTACTTAAAAATGGGTCACTTGCGAACATGTGTACCCGCAAATTTATTTATTTCTGGCATAGCTTTAGATTTTTTCTTTCTTTTTGGTTATTTTACCACCCGTGAATAAATTAAAAAAAAAATAGTAAAATAAACGCGCCAAATAGAAACACTGAAAAAAGCAAACAAATACAAAAATATATCACTTAATATCGCGCACATCAAAAGGTCGTTAACTTTTCGAAAATCCACTGTTTTCGTCTTTTGAACTCTTTTTGACTTTCCGTGCAATAGCTTTAATTTAAACTGTCAATGATATTAAAACGAAAAGTCAAAAAAAGTTCAGAAGACGAAAACAGTGGGTTTTCGAAACGTTGACCTTCTTAAAGTGCGCGATATTAAATGATGTGTTTTTTATTTTGTATTTGTCTGTTTTTTTTTCAGTGTGATATTTTTTGGTATGGAGGTGGCAAAATACGCAAAAAATAAAGATAATAGGTAACAAACATAATAGAACAATTTCTTGCCAACTCGTACTTTACGAATGTTTTTGTTGAAAACCCGCGCAAATGTTCAAAATAAAAAGATTGCATTTATAGCATAACTTGTGAATTCAATAAAAAATATGTTAGAGAAACCTCTGACCCATAAATATTACATTAGAGGATTTAAGAATTAAAAACTTCCCTAACACGCTTGGGAAAACGGTCATATAATTCAGAGATTGAACCAAAATTGTGACCGCAGACAGGAAATGTACTACAATGATCGAAAAAACCTATTATAGGCTAGTGCAAGAGCGAGTACATCAGAAACATGTTCCCGATTTGTCTCCTTTGTGCCTGGATTTTTATAACACGTGGTCGCTTCACTCTAGTGTAGCATTATAGAAAGTTTCTACGTTTCCCAAGGCCAACAACGTACAAAACCATTATAAACGGATAATATGTATGTATGCTGTTACACACCAGAATGTGCCCAAATTTAGTAAAGCCATTTTCTGTTAGATTAAACGCGTTCCGCCTCTGACTTCCTTGATGTAACGCGAGCCGCCAACAGAGCAAATATCCCCGTCGTCACATGTCGCAGGTTGATTAATTTTTATCCAATTTCTCCTGCGAAGCCCCGTGTAGGTAGCTCTCGGCTCGCCGCACAGCCTTGTGTACGCTATCCCGCGATTTGGTGAAGCTGGTACGGATCTCTTAGTTCACATTTCGTTCTTTGGACGAGCGCGCGATGACTCAAACCGCTCTCAATCATTGACAGCCGAAGTCGTACCTCGTCGGTGGCAATTACCATCCAGTGGCCTGTGCGTGTAAACAAACAAATGTGAAGCGGACGTCCTGACAATCGGGAAACGGTGTTTTATTTTGCGGAAACTATGGCGGGAGTTATGAGTGATCAGTTCAAGAGGATGAACCTGCAGACGAAGACTGTGGGGGAGGACAGGATAAAGCGCGCGAAGGAGCGGAACGAGGATGTGGCCATCCTGTCCATGGAGCTGCCAGGGGAGAAGAAGGGCTTCAAGTGCAGCTTAGGGGAGCTTTGCCTACAGGGAGATCCTACCAGTTTGCCTTTAGGTTGGTTGGAGGGCGTTTTTTCTGTTATAATGTCGATTAGTTGACAGGTGGTGGTTGCGATCCTTGATTTTGTAAACATGTGTTGAGTAGTCGCGACTGAGATATGTGAATGATAAATTTTTAAGCCGATTGGCTTCTATAACAAGGACGAATTCAATAAGTAACACTATTTAAAAAAAATCGCTATATTTAATACAGATTTTTGTGCGTGTTGTATTTTCTAGTTTCATTGCAATTAATAATTACATAAATTATAGGGAACCTTGCTATCTTGCTATGTAAACAAAAAATAGAATTGTTTATTCAACATAGTTTATTGACCAGAATTAAAGTATTAAAATATAACTTTTCGTCGAAAAAATTAATAATACAGGGTGTCAATAAATAAGTGCGAAAAAATTCAGGGGGCGATTCCCTGTTACAAAAATAAGGTGGGTCTTTCATATAAAAAATCTCATTTGAACATCTGTGAAGATACAACCGCTTAAAGAGGGTGTCAAAAAAGTATTTATCCGAAATAAGTTCCAAAAAAGTGACAGAAATGAAATTAAGTAGGCGTTTTCTGCTATCGAGAAGGCTCTCAGTCAACAATTTGTTGATTTTTCCCCTACTGTTGTAAGAGGTAGAAAAAACCACTTGTATCATACGTAACTTTCTTATTAATATCTTGCCATTTAAAAATTTATTTCAGATAGCCTGATTAATTTTAAACAAAAAAGGTCTTTTGTAATTTTTTCCTAAAATTAACGATATCTGAGCAAAAAATTTATTTAAAATTAATTACATGGTATGATTGGCATTGGGTAGAAATTTTGTCGAACTGTAATTTATCTAGTAGGCGGTAATGACGTTGACATTTACTCTGTGAATTTGGCTACAAATATTAAAAGAAGTAAGTAATAATACGAGTAAGCAACATCAGCATCGTTGCTATAGAAGAAGATAAACAAACAAATTTAAACTCTCAAAACAAATTAAAAACGTCATTCTCGCTTCTGAAAACAAAAACATATTGATTTTCGAAAAACTAACAAGCGTGATATAGTGATGTACATATTCTTTATTTGTCTACTTTTTTCCATTTTGCGAGAGTTTTAGTTATAGTCCAGTCGGTATGAAATGTATCAATCTTTTTTGCATCGGAACAGTTGAAATACATTTCCGATTTAAACAAATTTTCATAGTTATAAAGTCTTTACGTCAAACAATCAAAATCATTTTTGATTGTTGTTGTACAGTAGGTACGTTGTTTTCCGTAAACTCACTTCAATTTTGATCTTTCATATCTCGATGACGATTCATCGTGTCCACATCAAAAGTGTTCATTCATCAATCAGTCAATTCATCAATCCTTCCTCTATTTGATCCTATAAATTACATTTGAAGAATATGCAAATACGGTTGTTCCAGCTCTAATGTTTATAAGTATTTTTTCGAAGAAATTTTGGAAAAATTGTAATTGTTGCTAAAATGGATAAAATCGAACATTTTTAAATGGGGATTGATAGTTGAGACTCCAAAGGATATGTATAAAAATTGGGAGCTCAAAATAATCATTGGTTGTACCGTGAGAAAGAATTGAAAAATAAATATAATTCTGTATTTTCTTAATTGACAATTGAATTGTGCGAAATCTACCCGGCCGATTTCTATGAAAAAATTTCTGCATATCATGAACCATACTTTTTATATGCATGGCTGCTCTAAAGTCAAAGTTCGAAATAAATTCATGAAAAAAACAACTTTTTTTCCTTTGAAAGAAATGAGAAAAATGCACCTTTTTAAAAAAAAATTTTTCTTGCGCTAACAATTATACACAACTTTTTCAGCGGGCGCATATCGCAATTATCATTTTACATAATATTTAGAACTATTTCCAACAAAAATTAGCGTTACTATATGAAACATCCATACAACCTATTTTTAAAACAGATACGGATTGGACTATTAGGCAAAATTAGTTTCATAAAAATAAACTTTGACCGAATCTATGATATGACACCCTGTATGTAGAACAGGTGGTAATAAATATGTATAATGAGAAAAATACCTAAGTAACACATTTGAAAAATACAAATCCCCCAAAATTGCAAGTCGTAAGCACACTATGATTTTTTTTAAAGGATATCGTTTAAAAAATTGTATAAGCCGCCTCTAGACCTTGATTTGGCCTACAGCGTTTTGAATGCAAAATTCAGGAAAGGAATAAACAAACAAACAATACAATAATAAAATTAAAATTAAGAAAAATATAACAGGAACTGTAATATTCTTAAATATTCTATGTAAAAATTAATAGATATTCATACGATAGCATTTTGAGGGCATATAAAAAAAATTACTATAGTTTATAAAGACTTGTTTCCTAAAGCAAGTAGTAGGTTCCAAATAAAATGCGTGTTTATAAGGTCTATTTAATAGTAAATATTTGACCGTTAATTTTTATTTAACATACAATAAGGTGTCTCTAAATTTAGTAGCATAATTTTAACTTAACTTATCAAATTAATACAAAAGATAAATATTTTTTTTTCCTGATCAGTTCTATTTTCGAGATACTAGATGTTAAATTGACACTTACTATATCAGTTTTCTTACTATAACATTACAGTAGACTTGGAGACCTAAAATACGCATGTCCATACATAACTATAATAAATCTGAGTAAACACAGTTCCGTAGAAATAGGGGTTCCTAAGGTTATTGTCACATAAAAACATTTGAGGTTAGGTTTTCATAAAATACTTTACTATTTTTCCGTGACTCGTTTACGGTGTTATAGAAAATATAAACGAAAGGTTTCCGTGTATATCTCGGGAACAGAAGTGATTAGTTTTCATTTTATTTATTCTGACTTAACATTCTCCTAAAATTTCGTCACTAGGTTTAGGGACGTATTAACGGCCTTTACACCTTTAAATCGATACATCGTCACATATTTATTTATAATTTTTAACATTATTTCTACTGTTTCTAATATAAATAATCGCAATAAGTATTAATATGTTTCGTTTTTAATTTATTTAAGTAACTCGTAATTCTGTAGATACACTGTTTTAACCGCAGACCGATATATGGAAAAACTGGAAAAAACTCATAAACTTATTAAATAAACAAAACAATATTTTATGCAGTAGCATTTAACTAGCATATGCAAATATAATCATAATAGTTTATAGTTAATAGTTATATTTTGTAGAAACAAAATAAAATTATTTTTCATACTTCGAAGAATTACGTTTGTGCAAATATGTTCGCCATTAGTCAAGGAAACAGATGTTTTAAAATTTTCTAGTTGACCCTATAAGACCAAGGACAAAGAGTTTATTTATTATTGTTCATGAAAGTATCTACATAACATTTTTTAAAAGCAATTTGTTTTCATATTGTGATAAGCTGGGGAGGTCAAAATTCGAGAACAAAAGCAATAGGTCACCACTTCATATATATTTCCAGGAGCGTGATATATTCTCATTAAAAGTCCATTTGTTATTGATTTAGAGTGCGCGTTGTAACGATTACTGTATAACTATTTATAATACCTACGTATTTTTAAAACGCATGTTTCTGTTATTGATTAAAATGACACCTAAAATTGCATGTGTTTGTTTAGTCGCAAATACTGTAGAACTTTTAAAAAACATTCTGTATTTAAAATTGAGAAGTTCAAATGCTACCTTGTTAATATTAGTCCACAGTTGCTTTATTTGCAAGTTGCGGGTTATTAAAATTTTTGGAAAACAAATGTACAAATATTGTTTGTAGATACGTTTGATACTTGGGGTGGGGATAAATCATTTTGGATATATTATTTTTTTAGTCTAAAATAGAATTATCCACAGCTGAATAAATTGTCAATAATTCTAAAGCAATGAAATCATCAACAATTCGGAAAGTTCAATAGCGTAGACATTTGCCCCTTACTACCCCTTAGAAAATTTTACATTTCTACGCCAGTGTTTTTTTTTTATTTTCAAGGATTACAGTTTCAATAAATATTTTTGTTAAACAAACAGTTTTGTTTCCTTTTTATTCAACTGTATTTTAGACTAAAAATAATAATAACTCGAAAATTACTCGTTTTACCAGCAATTTGGAAATATTATTTCTTTGAAATACAACTGAACTAAGGTTGTATTAGATCCACTTATCATATTTTGGGCTCATTATTATCAAGATAACCGTTTGTGTTCCTTCATTGCATCCTGTATAAAGAATAGATTTGTGAGCAGCCTGCTGTTTTTCTTTCTTTTTAGAATAATTAAGTATATTCAAAAATTACCGTAGGTTGAAAATGTTTCAGTCCTACCTTAAATCTGTTGTTAAAATTTACAATAGTGTCATAATTTAGATATCGCGAATAACTGTGGGTACCAATTGAACGAATTAAATCATGTGGGAGTGGCAATTTTCCACCTGCCTTCGAGCAAGAAATCAGATTAATTTTATGCATCGGTATCGCAACAAAGAATTGAACAGCCTCTATCTGTATTAATATAATGGCGTGTCTGCAACATTGACCTCTTTTTTTCAATTCGAAAACCCACATTTGCTACAAATTTGGATAATAGCTAATTGGACATGTATTAACATACACCTTACCGGCAAAAGCGTCACAGTCCCATGTCGATAATTTTTGCGACTTATAGGTAGACGTTCTAGATTATAATTGGCGGAAAGTGTACAAAACGCGTCGTTAAACGCTAATTAATTGATTGTTTATAACGTAGCGGTCATTAAAGAATTGGCCGGTGGGTATGTACAAGATATATAGGTCGTTTCTAGGCATCGAGACAGATTTATTGTCAAAATAAAGGAAGTTATAATAACCCAAGGGCATTGATCATGTCAAACAAGTCGGTAACATAGTAAGTGATAACGGCATTGATAATAAACGAGATAATTTAATCAGTTTTTAAATTTTGAGGCACTTATCAATTCCTGAGGTTTAATTTTTTTGCTGTTTCCATTCTTCACAAGAATCTCTGAAAATATCTCTT